GGTAAATTAAGGAGATTTGTGTGAGCTGCAACCACTGATCACCCGTGACAGTGTCGAGTGTTGACATTATTTCAACAGGCCCCTCGTGTTATATTAAACACCTGATTGTGAGACACCGTCAGTAAACAGTAACCGCACAAGGGGATATTATTGTTATTGTTCCCTTGGGTTCCTAGTGGAGCATAGGGCTTCAACTGCACGCCTCCACTTGCTTCTGCTGTACTTTTCACCTGCATCCATGTTAGTCCACACTGTTTCAGCTCCTCTTCACACGATCTCCTCCATGTCACCCTTGCACTGACGTCCCACTCGCCGCTTCCCTTTCACGTTCCACTCGAGGGCCTGACGCGCGACTTCACCCAGCGGCCTCCTCAGCGAGTGTCCAATCCATCTCCACTTTCTCCTGCATATTTGTTGAGCGATTGGTTTCTGTTTTGTTTGTTCCCATAATTTCTTGTTGGTGATTCTTTCCGGCCATCTGACCTTCAGTATAGAACGAGGACAGTTGTTGATAAAGGTCTCCAACAGGCTGTTGGAAATATTCTTTGTGACCCGCCAAGTTTCTGATCCGTATAGAAGAACTGACTTGACGTTTGTATTGAAAATCCGAATCATTTTGTTGTTGGTGCTGAGTGACGCTGAAAATCTTCAACGCACAAGGGGATAACTCGAGTTAAATAATACTTTATCCAGAGTGATTATTCATGTATGCGAATTGCTTTTGAAAATCTTTTGTGTAGTCCATTTAATGAATTATGGATAATCCAGTACTTTTCAAGTTTGAGGGAGTAGTTATTGGCGTAGAACAACCTTCCCTCTCCGATTATGGTCTTCATGAAATACACCCATCTTTATGACTTTATCTTAGACAGAAAAGAATGACTGTATCCCTTCATGTCTAGCACTGAAGCACTTTCATAACTAAATTATAGTAAACATAAGGTACATTTTTAACTCCTTAGCCCTGGGTTTCTTGCCAGTGACCGAATTTAGATTTGTACAGTTCAAAATTATACATTCCGTATTTATGCCTCAGGTTGCGTTCCCTGCCATCGATTCTGTACTCACTGCTCATACTTCGACAAATAAACTTCACAACTTTCTATTCATGCTCTTGATGAATTTGGTGTAAAGTGTCTTCACATTGATTGCAAACAGTAAAGCTAAAAAACACCGTTTCTTTCAAGTACTAGTACACAATAGTTCTGGTGGTGTTCTTGAACTTAAATGAGCAGAAGCATAGTCTCAACTGGCCAGTTATATCTCAGGTATAACGTTTAGTTTTAATACAAAGTGTGAAATTAGTCTCAAGTGATAATCTGTCCTCATCAGAATAAATACACCACAACATATTAACATGTGACGGTGCTCAATCGGATGAAAATAGTAAATACTGGGTGAATAACAGACGTGGCTAGCAGCAGCAAAAATAGCTGAATTTTGGTTATATGATGTGATTTTTCCTACTTTGACCAAACATCAACCAATATTTTACAATAGTGACGATTATTTGACCGACATCTTACCATTACTTAACCAATATTTTCGATTATTTAACTACGACTTTCCCCCTTCAACCATTATTCAAGCAATATCTAAAAGACGGATTTATGAGCAAAGAATATTCTTTTCCATAAATTCACCATCAAGTTCTACATTTGTCTGACAGTAACAATTAAAGAAATATTGTTATTAACAACATCAGTGTTTTAAATCACATCAAATCAGTAGTATCGACAGATTACACTTTAAAAGAATTAGTAAGAGGTAATATGCATCAATATAACACTAAACAAAATACTAGATAAATTTAGGGAAGTAACAGAGAGTTTACGAATTTATAGGCTCGACAGCAGGCCACGTTAACAATAGTGGTTGGAGCTGCTTCTTTTTGCACGCAGAGCTCCAACCAAAGAGTGCTCCTGGCTTACAGTCTTGAGAAAAATAGTACGAAGTACATTTGCTCTCATGTAAGCAGTTCCATTTGAAATGCTGACTAATGTGACTGTCATCATCAGGTTAGAGTGGCCATAGGGTCAATAATTTATGGGAATTAGTGGATCCTATAAATTCTGATAATACAGTTTCTGTTGAAAGATCCTTAAGATATCTAAAAGGCGGATTAGAATCGTTTATTTGCTATAGCCACTATGGAAGATTGAGACCTCTTTTGCAACATGTTACAGACATATACTCTGTATAATTTACTTCTGTTGTGTATATATGTATGTGCCAAACAATTTTCGCACAATCAATGCTACTTTTCACACAGGAGCACATGATTGACTGGATCAGGGTCATTCGACTGTGGTTTCTATTCTTTACGATTAGCCAGTACTCCATGGAGAACCTGCGGATTCAAATTTGCAAAGCTACAGGACTCATGATGAACATAAACATTGTAGTTAAACTGTTAAATAATTCGGGAGTTGCTTTGGGAATTCTTTGACATTTCGAGAAACTAAGCGGTGATTTTGGGGCATTTCGTATTTTTAGGGGAGTCATGTTAGCCATATATAATAGTCCCCAGCTAGCGTTTTATTCGGGCACACTGCCGAATCGTCGGGGCGAAATCTCCGGGGGGCATTGCAGAACGTGAGACAGTGACCTGCAGTCTGCTCCAAACATTCTGCAATCAGCCCTAACTTTCTGCACCTGACTATAAGCTTGAATTATACGCCAACGATTATGCATTGGACCCTTAGTAATTAGCCACCATAAATGCAAACCTACTATGTACCCAGCTTGTAGCAACAAACAACATACTGGCATCAACTCAAAGACTTACGATACTGGCAAGTAGTTGACTTCAATGAAACATTTATTTTATATTCATGCAAAATGACTTTACAATGTTTTGATATAACATACGAGTCAAACAGCAAATAAATTACCAGAAGCATTCACCTGTGTAATTTCTGAATCTGGTCTGTTCTCGTTGTTCTGGTCGACGATGATCTGAAAATAAGTTTAAAAATCGAGAAATACCAAAGAAGAACGTCGACGTTTTCTTATTCTTGCCTTCAGTCTGTCATGACTGATGTGGAACCAACGCTGAATGGAAAGCATAACGGCTTCCACTGTGCTACGTTTATCAGCACTGCTGGAAACTGTTAATAGCTCCTGAAAACTATAATGATAACAAAATTTACTTGCGGATTACAAGGTTACACATCTTCGTTTCCTTGAATTGCCTCTTCTCCTTGAAAGCAGCCCATGAAAATTGTGTGCTGTACATGGGTTCCAGCAAAACATTCATGATGCAACCAACGGAGCTTTGGATACTGGAGTCAACCAAAGTGCCAAGATTGGAAGACACACTACGACGGTGTTCCTCGTCGGACAGCCTCATCTCAAAGGAAGACACTGCAGCATGACTGTCCAACTGCCATCTGCCTGAAGACTTCAACAGAATTCATAATGAAGACATCTTGGTCAATGCTCTCGAGCACTTTGAGTCGCGACAGCTTAGACTCAATGTCAGGAACACGTGTTTCCAAATGTGACTGGCTTGCCTACACAGCCTTTAACAATACTAAACAAACAGATATGCAGGAACCAATCTCCTCAGTCCTCAGATACCTACAAATAATATTTGAAATGAAATTACATGTCAACGGGTGATTGACTGTAAGTTTTTGACATTGAAGAGACAGAAGACGATCTGAAATTAAGTTTCTTTAATTAACTGTAATATACCTTTCATTTGTGTTAACCTTAGGTGGCTTTTGGAAACTAGATGTGTCGGACTGAAATTCCGTGTCGGCCAACAACCGAGATGGGTATTTTAAAGGAGGAGAATCGACTGAAACCTTTCTTGTCGGCTTCATAACACTGGGAACATTAGCCAAGATTTACAGTCCACCGGTTCACCCTGCCTTGATTTTCAGGCTTTATGTCCTAAGATGACGACACCCTAAATGTAGAATGCAACAGTTTCGATGCAGTTTTCACTGTAACGGCTTCCTCAAAATTATCTAAAAAGGAATATTACTAAAAAATGTCACATTACTGTAGCGCCCCGACAGAGTGAGCTCATAAGCCATAGAACTCGGTGCAGCCTCTGCATTTTCCACGACTTCATCAAATTTATACGACCATGGGATAATCACTGACCTACCAGTCACCCGCACCTCGACAACTATCAAAATATTATCCAGGCCAGGCACCTTGGGACCTGTAACTAGACTCTGCAGGATACGTGTGTTAGACTCAAATGGGAAGCATGAGAAAGTGTCTAGTGGTCCGTGCTGTTGTACCTTCTAACATACGCGCAGTAAGTCGTGAACGCTGTAGACCATGTTATCATTCCCAAATATTGAACTAAATTTCCCTACGAATTTAACCCAGCTAGCATTTTTTCGGGCGCACAAACTAACGTGGGACGAGGCCCCATAAGCCTACCCCGACCATTCTGTGATGCACCCGAATTCTGCCCCAAACATTCTACAATTCGCCCAAACTTTCTAAGACTGACTAAAACCTGGGACTACGCGCCTACGGTTCCGCACTGAACCCTTAGTCGACAACCAACATAGAGGCAAATCTATTATGTACACAGCTCGTCTCAAAAAAGAGCATAGTGGCAGCAGCTCAACGACTAGCGATATCAGAAAGCAGTTGACTTTGATGAAACATATAATTATTTTTCTTGGAAAATGAATTTACAATGCCTTGACATATCATAAAAGTCAAACACCATATAAATCACCGGAAACATTCATTCGTGTGCTTTCTGCATCTGGTCTGTTCCCCTTGTTTTCGTCGGCGGTAATCTGAAAATGAAATTTGGAGAAAATAGAGACTTACCAAAGGGGAAGGTCATCGTTTTCCCATTCTCGACTTCAATCTGCCGTGACGTCACGGCAACCGTACGGTTATGGAACCAACGTTGAATGGAAGTCACGATGACGTCCACTGTGCTGCGTTTATCAGCACTGTCTTGTTGGTGGACACTGTTAATATTTCCAAAAAATACAGTGAAAACAAAATTCACTAACGGATCACAAGGTTACACGTTTTAGTGTCCTTGAATTGCTTCTTCTCCTTGGTACCAACCCATGTAAAATGCATTTTACATGTGAGCTGTATTTCGGCTCCAGCAAAACATTCATGATACGACCAACGGAGGTTTGAACACTGCAAGGAGGTAATACATCTTCCAAGAACGTGGGACAGTGATATGCAGTCTGCCCCAAACATTCTGCAGTGCGTCCGAAATCAATGCCAGCTGGGTGATCATAAGGGATTTTGATGCATTTCCCCTGAAAACAATCCAAGATTTTTTTCCATATGTAACTGTCAGCAAGAGTGTAATTAACTTGATGTGCACTTTCACTAGTCCCTTAGCAGGGGAATTATGAAATATACTTCCTTAAGGAAGAAATCATGCACCCTATTTATTTAAAAACGCGCCTTTTAGGTTGTCGCATTAACCAATCATATATTAAAGATATAGCGCGTTAATGTCTTTGAATTACTGTCTAGATTTTAAAGCTGCCAGCTGTCATAATGAATGTTAGGCGTGTTGTTTTCAGTTTCCGGAATTTATGCCTATGCAGAATAAATGGGTTCGCTACAGTCAGGCTCCCAATACCAGGGGTGGACAATGTGTTGCTGATATCATCAGCGAAGGGTGGCGTCGGTTTGTGGGATTTTGCAGTATATTTCATGGAAAAATTAAGGAAAGTCAACTGTGGCTGTCAATTTGGCTTTGGCTTTACAACAGCACGTGGATGGTGGTAATATTGGTGTGCTAGATGCTGACGTATTTGGACCTTCTATACCAAGAATGCTCAAATTGGAAGGCATATCACCTGAAGTCGATAAAATGAAACGGATCATACCCCTAACTAACTACAACATCAAATGTATGTCCATGGGGTTCTTAGTCGGTAGTGAATCAGCAGTTACATGGCGTGGTCTCATGGTAATGTCAGCGATTCAGCAACTGTTACGTCAAGTAAGTAATCTTTGCAGCAACATTTCTACAACAGTTCAAAAGAGTTTTAATAATAATAATAATTAGAGGAAACATGAGTATTACTTAATAGGTCTAAGTACCTCTCTTTAATGCTTACTGTCGTTATATTTAGAAGTCATTTGAGTTGTTGGTGTAATACATACTGAACACTATCACAGTTAGATGTTGCCACTGTGTATCCCCATCAACTACCTTGAATCTCACAGTGATAAGTAGTATTTACTTGTTGACGTTTCTAATGCAATTTATTGTTCATTATCATATGAAGAAGTTCAGTAAAGATATCCTTTCGCCGAAAAGATGCCTCTCTGTCTAATATTAGACAGAAAAAAACAGGACATATGTCCTGATAAGTATTTTTCGTGATTTCTAATTTTAAGACCAAGGGTCATTTACGGACCGAATAGTTCAGTAGTAACGTCTGTGACTTCAGCACTGGGTGATACAGGTTCGAATCCCAGTTCTTTTCAGGTTGTAAATACGTTGTGTGCCAACTTGAACTGCTGCACATCCGTGCAAATTTCTACGTTTTAAACAGTCAGACAGACCGTATTCTTTCTCATCTCTTGCATGATTGTGACCCATAAATTAACATTTTGACTTTCTATATTGTTAACACTAGACACCTCTTACATGATTGCATGAATTCCGATGAAGTACCTAGATTAACACATTGTCAGCCCCTCTCGACGGACAGAGTTGAATGTCTTCAGGTTAAGAAGTGTAACTATTGTTAGACTTCGTAATTGTACATAATCTATTTCCTTAAGTTTCTTTTTCTTCTAGCCTCAATTAATCCTCGCAGATCTACTGAATTTAGAATATTAGATAAAACGTTACTCAAGCTGATGGTTTGGTGCCTGTAACAGGAAGACTTCTTAGATGGGGCTTTCAGGTCCCTACGTGCAAGCTAATATCCTAGTTAATTTAGTTGATAATTCACCACAAACATCCCCTAACACTTGCAGTTTTGCTGTCGAGTCCTACTGCTTTACCTCATTGCAAATTGAAGACAGCTTTTGTAACCTTAACTGTAGCCAATGTAGCCTGTTGAACCACTGCGGTACGCAAGGCCCTCGATTAACTTAAGTGAGCAGCTGTCAGTCGGAATCTCACTACGTAAAAAATTTAAATAAGTGGTTTCACTTCAAAGTAATCTAAAATCAGTGTTTCAAACAGTGCTTTCTCCATTGTTTATAGGTTCACTGGGGACCGCTTCATACACTCGTCGTTGATATGCCCCCAGGAACCGGAGATGTACAACTTTCAATTTGCCAAAACGTCCCCGTCCAAGGTGCCATTATTGTTACAACTCCACAAGCGGTAGCTACCACAGATGCTCACAAAGGAATAGATATGTTTCGAAAACTAAATGTAAGTGTTTTTTCCCTGTGTACAACTTGGCACGACCCCATTTGATTATTATATACATGAGAAGTATGTAGACCACTTATTAGAAAGTAGTTCTTTGGTGATTAAGATACCCAATTCGCTAAAAGATGTGGAACTTATGCGTTCCAAACCCAATAAACTTCTAAAAACCCAAAGTCGTGCCAGTCTGTCGAAATCTGGAGAAGGTGAATAGTTGGGTCACAGTAATCGACAGATTATATTGTTGAACATAAAGTGGTCAGGAAGTTAGTCAGCTATTTTAATGCATGTCATCTGTCTCTAGTTTTTTATTGTAAGAAAACAAGGCACATAACAACCAAGCAGCTTGGCAAAACAAGAAGGTAATGGATACGTTCGCATTGCTGTAATATTTCTGAGTTGTAAACTATCAATATGCACTTTCTCACTGAGTCTTTTCTGTGAAAAGTACGTTTCCTTGAGGCTCTACTTAGTAAACGCCTTGCTCTCTTTCGTTTTTATTACTCAGTTACATGGCTACTAACTGCCATCATAGAATAGTAAACAATGTACGCTGTGATAGGTATATGAAGACAACCAATTCTGTGCATTAACCCAGTTACCCGGACAGACCTTTCACGTACTAGGCTGAGCTACACTTGTGTGAGAACTGATGATACTAGCCACCTGCCCAGGATAAAGTAGATGGAATGGGACTGGAAATGGGTCTATTGAGATACGAGTGATTAAACCAATGGGCCAAGTCTTTATTCTGTTCTTGAACAGCATGGTTCTCACCTCAGATGACTTGCAACAAAGTTCTGTTGTTTTTTATCACGGTAGACAGGAGTCAATATCACTTATTTCCGCCTCGCGTCTCTTCCAAATTTTTCCGGCTTCAGCACTAGAAGGTTATCGGCCCGCACATTTACAGCAGTATATGTTATCTACCTGACTATTCACAACCCTTCATGACTTCTTATAAAGCCTCGATTATAATCCTTATTAATTTCAACATGATCATATAGAGGTAAATCTAAACGATGCATCTACGAATCTCATTATACTTTATCAGGTTCACAAGAATAAACATAACTCGGATTTCGCGTTTGCGAAGCGTAGTTTTCGGGAATCGACAATCCTCATATATTTCGTCACCATTCCATTCTGTCATTTTAGAGGGCTTGTGAGTGGAGAGTAAAGAAAATGCCAAGTGTATGCTACTGAACCAGGTTGCAAAAACCTCACGTAATCTTGTGGAGATTTACAGAAAGTCATTAATGAAACCACAGTCTGTTATATCTTTCATGTTTGCTATAACTACTTGAAGTCAGTCTTACCTAAAGTGCATTGATCCAAGTTAGATAAAGGTGTAAAACTCATGGTATGTGCGGTATGGTTTCAAGCATTTCAAATGTAAAACTATCTCCTATAAATTAAAGTGAACACCAAGTAAGGTAGTCAAGTACTTAGTCGTCCCACGAAAATTTACATCCCCTGACTGCCAAATTGTTAACCAGTTTTCGATGCAGACACAAAATACCACTCGAGGATTACAGATTAAATTCTTTGGACCCAAAATGTAAAGCATTATGGATTCTCATACTACTTCGTACATTCCTCAGCAAGAGTTTCGAGCTAAACCTCTTCTCTGGAAGTAACTTTTGAGTAAATGCTTGGAAATCAGTTACTCTGCCTTTGAAGTTGTTGAGTGTATGAACAGATATTTCAATTACTACCTACATGAAACGCGAACTGAAAACTAACTTGTTGAGTATCGATATAAAAAAATCTCTGCTGGTTGTTATCAGCGCAAAGCCTTACATGGACTGAATTTAAACTTGTGACGGATTTTTATGAAATATTATTAGTTTTCTTGATATGCATTTGTAAGACATACAAAATATTAATTTCTTTCGTTGATAGATTCCTATTTGCGGGATAGTTGAAAATATGAGTGAATACATCTGTCCATCCTGTGGCCATCATGAACCATTATTCGACAATATGAATGAGGGTAAATCTGGAGGTGAAAGACTGGCTGAGATTACTAACCTACCCCTTCTTGCACGCATACCAATCGACCCGCAACTAGTACGCGCCTGTGATAATGGTGAGCCAATAATCGTTTCTAAACCGGAATCAAAAACCTCAAGTATTTATAAGGAGCTTGCAGATATTACAATAAAACGGTTGCATATTCTAAAAAGTGGAAATATACATAAAAACAATTCCAGTACACAGCAGAATGGTATACTGTACAACCGTAAATAAGGTCATGAAAGCGTTCGGGTAGTTATGTTTTCTATAATATCAATTTAATTCAAAGATGGACTTCTGTTTTTATTCCATCTGACACGTATTGTAGGCCATTTTGTCGCCAAACATTGCTGTATAGGACTTCGGTCAACAGGTTGAGTTTCAGTAAGTTCTTCTGTAGGATCTATAAGGTGCGCTTCGCCAATACTATACCGGACCTATTTAGAAAAAAAGTAAACTCGATGATAATTTTCAAAAGGGTTAATTTAGACGAGGATATCTACGAATAAATAATGATCATAATAATTAAATTTGCTCGGTACATTACTTTATACATTGGGCTGTAACTTCCATTTCACACAAGAGATCATATGTTACTTCATGGCTATCAGAGTCGAATTAGAAAAGGAGTTTTGAACTCCATTATGAAAAAAATGTAGTGCTAAAGTCAATGAGTCTAATTGATAAATTTTCTAGATTTATTACTCCGCACCATGTAGCGACATGCATTTCAATCTCCAACTTCTACATCATTCGTGAAACGCAAATCTTGTGAAGTGTAAACATAGAATTCAGGGCAGTTAAATTTCCTATGAAGTTTTCTATGACTGCTGTTTTATCAGCAATTGGAAATTGAGATGAACCTCTGTTGTCACTCACCTGACCATCAATGTTTGAATTTTCCAGACCATTATAATGAATCAGTTGAAAATTACTAACTGTGGTACATTGTCTGGCCATTTCTTCTGGAAAGAAAAACTGTAAGAAATCTTTTTTTAGAATTATTCCTAAGCCTTCAGGATCCAGTTTCGCGGTTAGATCGTTTAATCTAAAAACAAAAGATGAAGTAATCAAATTAATTAATTTACAGTGCATGGGAGATTGTTGTTAACATAACTTTTGAGCCAAGAGAAGGTAAAGTGTCAGGAAAACTCAATGAAAAAGAAATAAAAAAATACGCACAGGTTGAACTGGTGGTTGAATCTATTGTTTTACAAGTGAATTCGTACAAAAGAAGCTGATAATGATGCATAGCACATAACTCTGACTGGTCGACCTATAACTTAATGAGAGGCGATCACCTAATTAAATACAGTTTTTTCAACTTACGAGGCCGAAATACAGATGTTATGATTAGCCGACTTTGAAGCTCTATAGGCGGCAAGCTATCGTTCACATAATTCCAGAATTAGTATCTTTCTTAACATTAAGGTTTATTTGTGTAGTTCCTATTAGTAGACTTGCAAGGATATACATTATTCTTGAAGTTTATTCAAAAGATTTCGAGTAGTTCATCCATCATATCTTTATAGGAGACTTTCAAAACTCGTGAGCACACAGAATAAATATTACTTTTCTCGTAATTTCAGGGTGATCAAACATTGAAGTTAGTAATCTGTCCGGCGAACTTGCATCAATCTCCCAAATGAACCTCCATGACTCTCTGTCTGAAAGATGCAGCGTTGAATTTAACTCCCTTTTAACTACGAGACATATAAATGACAGTCACTGAACTGCTTTAACAGTTTACTAGCGAACTGTTTTCACCATAATAAAAACACCTGCATGTATTTTATGCAAATAAAGGTCATGGATTACATTGTTTTAGTAGCTCATTCCCACAGCTTATCATAAGGAAATCACCTGACACAAAATGCTTTAAGGTCAGAAATTTTATGTCATGATAACTGATTGAAGTTAGACTAAAAATTGTCAACCTACGGTATCTTCATTATTATTATTATTGTGTTTACTCCCTATGTATTCATAACACCTTCATGTTGCACATTTTTAAATATTTACGTCTTTCTAAGTTCACGGTCGGCGTGTCTGACATTAACATGTAGCATAAATTAAATAGAACGAATTGTCCTTATTAAACTGTCATCAAACAAATGACATGAAAACAGATAGTCGCTTTAGTAGCAGCCTAAAATAATAGAAATTATTCCACTTACGAAAGAGATCCTGCAGACAGTTTCAGTTTGCTCAGTAACGTTTCTAAATCTGATGAACTGAGAAAACCGCCTGTATCTTGATCTGGACTAAGATTACCGAACTCAAGTTCAGCCTGATGTATGTTTGGTATTGATTTATTACTTTCTGATTTTACATTTTTGGACACTAATGATATGTCTGGAGACGCTAAGACAGTTAAGTGTGTCTCTGATCCCAAAATCCACACTGGATAATACGGATTTTTCAAGAACCAACCCACTTCACAATACCTCATTGCTTCAACAAACGTCAGGAAACCAGTTTTCGGTTGTTTAGATATACCTTTCAATGCTGTATAGAAAAATAAAAGTAAAGGAAATAAATAAGTCTGTTAGACGAGTTGTTTTTCATCCCAAATTGCTGCACCAGGAGGAGAAGAAATTCCAATTTATTACCCTGTTCAGTGAACATTTGATATAAATCCGTGCGAGATTTTATATTGTGACGAAGGTATTTATTTTAATTACATGTTGGAATAACTGTGTCGTGGATCCTAACCACGTAACCTACAGTTCTTCAAACAGTGGGGATAATAAAAAAAACTCTACACTGCTATCAATGGTCACAGAAACTATTACCTAGTTAGTACTAATTCAACTTGGGCCACTAGGTGGTATCATCAGCCCTCACACAATAAATGTGTGGTTCATAGTCCGTCCTACGTAACTGTTTTGCAAAATAAACGAACGATGTGACAAATTTGGTAGCTTAATTATGAGATTCTTTTGTGAGTAAATTCTTAGTGATTAGCTGTTAACTGACTGCAAGTACCTGTATACCATAAGTTTTCAATAGTACTCACTACACATATAGAAACCTTTGGATTTTTCGTTGGCTGTTGCTGATGCATCAAAATGATTGGTCGAAGTTGGCATGTCAGCCCCTAGAACAACCGTTCAAATAATCCATCTGACTTCAAACTTTAAGTCATTTACTGACAGGTTATGACTAACAATCGAATGTGGATTACAACACGCGATTGGTCCCAGTTGAGGAGCATCGTATCTAAGCAATTGTGTTCCAAATGAAGCCTAGTTCCAGCACCGATGGTTCCAAATGACAGTGTTATCCACTATGCTACTGAGCTATCTCTTGTGTAAGAGGTATCGGTTGTCATACAATGAGTCTTTTGAATTTCTTCTGCATAAGCTAGTCGACTTTAGGTAAGTGAAACAGTCCACTGTATATGTTCAGTGCACATTAGCAGTTATGTTTCGTACAATCTACCTGAAAAAAATCGAACACTTACAATTCCTATCAGCTACTTAAATCCCATGAGAATATGTTCACAGTAGTTTGTAAGCAAATGAAATAAAGTATATCTGGTCAAAAGACTACATGTAGTGCTATATAGTAGAGAAGGCTTGTAGTGTTTATTCAGGTGACAAACAGAGGTGGGGTTATATGATCTATAAAGATAAGAAAGCTTAGTGAATATTGTAGGTTGCGTCCAATCGCTTACACGTCGTATAAGCATTGTTATACGAAATCCCTTGAGATTACATCCAAAAAGCAGTATTAAACGAATGTTTCACCAGAAGCTTACTAGAACTTCATTAACCTACGAATAATCCAGTATGAAAGGTGTAAACTAATTTTTAAAGATGCTTTTTGAGAATTCCAGTTTATATTTAGATAGTATAGATGATTTCTTCTAAACAAAGTCGGTTAGCCCAGTGTTCACTACTTGGAATTAGTTCTCTTGATCTCATAAAATAAACCTTAGTTATATTCGTCGAATTGTTGGTGTCTGTTAGGCTGACTGCTTGCGTAATAAAATGTATTCAATAGGACATTACACTTCATATCTCACGTTTCGATGACATAAGCAATCTCAAAAACCAATATGTTTTTAATTTATTTCATTTCCTTTTATTTTGTGTCACGCATTTGACACCTTATCTATTCATGTTCTTATACTTTGTTGATTTATAAATTATGTTGAGCATCTAATCTTCATTTAGAGTAAGATTTTTATCCCTATCCTTCGACTGTATTATCTACCATTTTGTATATGTCGCGTGGTTTCCTGAACTTTGATTTACCTTATCAATCATCACATGCACTTGAGCATATTTTGTACTTAATAACTGGTTCAATATATACCTCTTAGCTGTCCATTTTGTTCATATATGAGCTCCCTGAAATGTGTATTTAACACTGTTATTTGAGATTTTTGTCTTCATCAAAAACTGGATAAACCACGTTTTTTATTTCAAGATTTTACGCAATTTTGATTACACATTTCCAAAAGCGTCATTAAATCGTTTAATTTTAGACTTTTGAAAAAAATTACTCTGGTTGAGTCGTAACATGTGTGGCTGCTAATCATACGCCCAAAAGAGTATCTATAGACACAATAAATAGGTATACATCTATCTAAAATGTTGAACCACTGTACATTATGAACGGCAAATAAATGTATACTGGAGGATAAACAAGAAATCAAGAAATAACGTGACATATCCCGCATCAAGCGACTAGGAGGTTTTGAAGTCAGGACATAGGGGAAGATAATTCGCTAAAGTGCTTTTGTGTTAAACAAATATACGAAAGAAAAACCATCTTACTGATGAAATAGATTAATATACTTACTAAATCCTCCAAGATCTCGTTCACCATCAAATAAATACGGTGTGCTTTCTCCAGTAATCAATAAATTAATTAAACACTGGCTAGCATGACCATGAACTGGGTCGATTAAAGCCTCCATTTCCCCATTCATCTCGTTTTTCAGCGACTGAAGTCCATGTGTGAACAAAACTGAGTAAAGAAAGCATAGTACTCCGTATTTAGATGTAATTTGAGGCAGTAATGAGAGAGCGACTGCACGAAGTTCTTCAACAGTTTCAGCTTCATAACACCTGATTAGAAGACACTTCAGTAGTAATTATAAATAAGAATTAAAAATTTACTGCCTAGAATACTCCTCGTTAAGCAGTATGAGTTTAAATATCAGAAAATGGGAACAAATTCGTGACAAACTCTTGAGCCAAGAAAGTTACTTAGTGATGCTTAACAAGACCAGGTGCATTCTTATTTTGTCACAATCGAGACAGACAATTTGAGTAGAAAGTGAATCGTTCATTACAACCATCGTCATTGATTTCAGTAATGAATTACAACTTTTTCAATGAAACATTGCAAGTGTTTATCGTAGTGAAATCAGAGGACTTTCATTACGAAGTAATTGTATCCTAAAGACTAATCCTCAAAATAACGTCATTTGAAATTTCATCAGAGCTTCAATGGCTTAAATCCCCACACATTGAATCTACATAAAAATACTGGGGGCGGAAATACATTTGATGTTTTAGGTGTGAAAAGTGACACACTAGTGAATGCACCACTCCAAGGTGGCGTATTTCTGTTATTATTTAAAAAGGCTGGAGAAATTGATGACATTTAATGTTCTGCAGAGAATCTGTTAACTCACTTTGTACTAAAAAAATAATATTTACTAAATAAAATTAGTAGTGCTTATTAACAATTTTAGGCAAGTAAATTGCATGCAAAATAAGAGTTACTAAATAAAACACTGAAACAGTAATCAATGTCGTAAAACGTCATTTCTATTATTACACTTGTTCAATCGATTGTTAGCTGTTGTAGAAACAATTAAA